AAAGACATATGCACCCCTATGTTTATCGCAGCACTATTTACAATAGCCAAGAAATGGAAGCAACCTAAGTGTCCATCAGTAGATGAATGGATAAAGAAGATGTGGTACATATATACAATGGAATGTTATTCAGCCATAGAAGAAAACAAATACTACCATTTGCAACAACATGGATGGAGCTAGAGGGTATTATGCTCAGTGAAATAAGCCAGGCAGAGAAAGACAAGTATCAAATTATTTCACTCATCTGTGGAGTATAACAACAAAGCAAAAACTGAAGGCACAAAACAGCAGCAGACTCACAGAACCCAAGAATGGACTAACAGTTACCAAAGGGAAAGGGACTGGGGAGGATGGGTGGGAAGGGAGGGATAAGGGGGGGGCCAAAAGAAAGGGGGCATTATGATTAGTATGTGTAATGTGTGGGGTGGCAGGGGGAGGGCTGTACAACACAGAGAGAAGACAAGTAGTGATTCTACAGGCATCTTACTACACTGATGGACAGTGACCACAATAGGGTATGTGAGGGGAACTCGGTAATGGGGGGAGTCTGGTAAACATAATGTTCCTCATGTAATTGCAGATTAATGATACCAAAAGAAAAAAGAAAAAAAAAAAGCAGAACAAATACACAAACAGATGATAAAAGAGGAAGACTTTTTTTAAAAAGAGGATTAATCCAGGAGTTCTAACATGCTAACAGTAATTCCAGGTAAAGAGAAGAGAGAAAATGGGAGCAATTAATCACCAAAAAAGAATTTCTAGAATTAGAAAATGTGCATCTCCATATTGAAAGGACACATCACTGAGTACCCTCCCATAATTATGTTAAGCAGATACATGGAAAGGCCCATCACTGGGACCTTTCCTATTCCTGAAGATAATTTTTATTACTCAAATCAAAGAAACAAAAAAATCATAACATCAGCATAATTAAGGGACTTTTCTAGACTCTGAAATATCAAAAACAGGTAAGTCCTTGCTTTTATGTCAAATAATTTTAAGCTAAACAATACCTTAAATTCATTAAAAGGGCTTTCTATTTTAAAGAAACAAAACAAAAACAGAAAGATTTGTCACTGGGAGTGTATTTAGGTAAATTTTACAGTAATAACTAAGGAAACTGAATTCTGACCAGAAGTTTATTTTTACTTCATTGGCATTTTAAAATACGTAGTTTATGAGGATTAGAAATGTCTATTTTCTCTGATTTCAGTTAATCTTACATTTATTTACTTAGGTTTAGACTTTATTTCCTAGTTATTTTTCTTTTAGCATCTCAAATACAAAAGATCTAACATTATTAATAATGGCTAATATAGTGAATAATGAAATCAAGTTATGATAATTTGTGTTACCTTGAAATATACCAAACTCTTGACATTTTAAACTAATTTGCTTCCATCTTAGGGGCCACACACTCACCTTGAGGATCAACTTCTTTAGCTAGCTTCAATGCATCTGAGTTTGCAAGATCTGTGTTGGCTGGGGTGACAGCCAAAACCAGACAGTTCTCCCGTGTGATGAACTGCATAATCATGTCTCTGATCTGATACTCAATATCTGGTGGCTGATCTCCCACCGGCACTTTAGTAATTCCAGGTAAATCAATAAGGGTTAGATTTAACACTGTATAGAAAGGATAAAAAAAAGTCTTACATACACCCTCAAAGCTAAGAGATATCAACAATGCAGAATCATCTGTCACTTTAATGGAAATGAAACAAACTCAGCTTTATATATTGTGTGTTTGAATAACTCCACCTCAGTGTATAAAATAAAAAGCACAGAATACAAAATGACTTTGTAAGTTTTCTCTATTTTTATAATATGACTGTGCTATGCCAAATGATCATTTTGACATAATTTGAAAGGTACTGATCTGCATGTGTAACATTTTTCTCAGAGAGCTGTCATACACATAACTAGGGGGTTATAATTCAAACACTGAACAATAAATGCATATCCTGTCTGCCAATCTTGTGCACTGCCTTCAAACGGTGTAAAAATTCTCAGGATAAGATTTGTCCTTCTCTTCCAAAGCATCATGTTATTTACAGGGGGTTAGCCACTTAGCCTATCAGAAAGCTGTTAGCTATTCATGGGGCCGTGAGGCTGCCCTGTAAACTATACAGCCAGACTCACAGTGCACCATTCAGGAGAGCAGGACAGCATTCCTTAGTCAGTGACTCCAGCCCTGACCTGGTTGTCATTCTTGCTGCACACAGCACTGCAGGCACTAAGACCTCCTGGGCAGTCATAACTGAGCTTATATAATTCATGCTCCAAACTAGGTAGATTAGTGATTAAAATCTGCCCCATGCAAATTTAGTCAAAATAGATGCTATTCCATATCACACACCATGAATTAGTTATCTGATTTACGTTTCTGCTGATAGTCTGGAAAAAAAATCACAGCTGCTTCCTCAGGAATAGAATAAATAGGATTATATAAGGCTGCAAGAAAACCTAACAGGAAAAGACTACATACTTCTTAAGATTTTTGCAAAGACTGTAGTATTAAAAATAGAAGTTCTCATGCATACCTCTTTGGAATTCTGAAAGTTTAAAATAATGGAAATTTTTTTAATGACTTTATCAATTCTCATCTTTTTAAAAGTCACCTCTTCCTGCCTCCCCATAAATAAATCTATGTGCACCTTGGACCATACCACTTATGTCAGTATCCAAACACTATCCTAGAAACTCAGTACTTTTTGAGAGAACAAACCATCTTGTATACAAATGATATATACTAATTAATGTAGTAAAAGGTCTTGATCACAAGAATTTTGTTATTTTACTTACCATGTGGGGAATAGACTCGTAAATTAATGGGGATTGAGGAAATGCCTTTATTCATTCCAGTCACTCGATCTGTTTCTGCTTCAATTTCATGGCGAACTTCATCAAAATCTGTGTATTTTTTTCCTTTGCAATGTAGAAACTCAGCATATTCTGCAAAAGACAAATTAATATACAACCTAAAATTCATGCACTTTTACAGTTACTATGAGGAAACAATTTATCTTTAATTACAAGTCAAAGTACCCAATATTGTCTTCAGCCATCAGAATGAGAGAACACAGCAGTTACTAAGAAGCACAGTTAATACTTTAGAAATATTAAACACAGTAAATGCTAAGGATGCTCAATTAGCTAATTTTCAGATAAGCAATTAAGTACTATAAAAAGTCCTTAAATCTTCTAGCCTATTTATCTATAGAGACCTGTGGCCCTCCAAATGATAAAACAATAGCACCTGATTGTCAAAGAAAGTAGATGTAGGGTACACACAAAGCTTACCTATTAATCCTATTAGTTTATCATTTTACAATGTCACCAATTTATTATGATGGAATGCTATTATATAAATATAGTTTCAAAAGGCAAGAAGATTTAGAAAGAAAGTTTGCTTAATTCTTCAAAAGGAAATTTGTGGAATAATATATCTTTAAAATATACTATTCAAAATACCACATCAACTTGTATAATTAAAAAGATATTTTCTCAGGAAAAAAGGTAGGTTATTACATCAATGAAAATATTTACCTGCATTCTAAAAAAAATCAGTATCTGTAAGGCAGAAGAAAAACTCTAGAATACCTATATAATAACAGAAAATTAAGATTTAAAAAAATTTCAGTAACATCCTACCCACTGCTGTATTATCAATTTCTATACCTGCCTCCAGAAGAAATCAGATATATGATAAACAATACAACTCAAAAAGGAAGCTGATACTTTTAGACATAAAAAATGTATTATAATTTTAACCAGAGAACAAGTCTTAACAAACATTTTAGTTTCTCTAATAACAAACTGAAGAATTGCTCCACCAAACTGAGACAAGGCTGAATATCTTGGGCCCACGTGTCAGATGAAACAATTGCTGGTCGACTTGCTATGATTCCCCACCATAAACATTTAACCTTCACCACTACGGCAAGGCCACTAAGGAGACAACTATCAGATGTGGTCTGCTGTCTTCAAGTAGCTTAGCATCAGTTAGCACAGGGAGGATGAAATAAGTCCTGATCTACATTTAAAAATATAAAGATAAGGGAATGACAGGAAAGAAGGCTTCAGGCTGCAGTGCCCAAAAAACGAAATGGGGTATAACCAGAGTACTAAGAGTAGGGAGGTTTCAGTGTGTGCAAAGAAAGCAAGTTCTTTCAGAGAATCGCAGAGTCTTAGTAGCTTCAACAAATCCCAAACAGGTTACCATCTAGCCTGCCCTTAGACCCACCCACTGATGGGGAACTAAGGCTTTGATATCTTTGGAAAAAAATTCTCATTGAAGAATGTTTCTTAATGTTGGTATGATATCTGCTTTCTAACATTTTCTTGGTCTACCGTTTGCCCCAGAGCTATTCTGACAGTCTTCTTCTGTGTGAAAAGGCCAAGACCACTCTGAGCTTTGGCACACAGAGTTCATCTCCCTGGGCTTCTCTTACCACCCACCTGGATCATTGCTCAGGCCTGCGGGTGGCACACAGATCCTCCAGCCCCACCCCAGCTACTCAGGACTGGTAAGGTCACAGGCTCCTGAAGTGCACCACAAATTTATACTGTAATTTACTTAACATTTCAAATGTTAGAATGACTTAATTTCTGTCTTTCCTGTAAATGTAAATAGACATGAAAAGGTTTCTGAAAAACTTCTGAAAAATGGCAAGGTAAGACTCCTGAAAGCTCATTCCTCAATGGTAGAAGTGTACACAGCAATAAAGTTTCAACAGGCTTCCAAATTCTGGCTGAAGAGATTATTGCACCATTTGGCAAATGTTCTTCTACATGTTTACCCTCATAGGTGCTGGTTCTATTAGAATATAAATTCTCAGAAGATACAGCCTTTATTTTATTTACCCATTCAATGGCTAGGCCAGTATCTTGTGAAGGTAATAGTTTAAACGCAAGTAGAGGCCAAAACAATAAGAAAAATAAAGAGGAACAAAAGGGTGTCAGGTCCCAGAACAAACAAAAATTAGTAAGCAAAAACGAGGCATAAATAATTTAGAAGAAATGCAACTGTACTTTTCAATTCAATATATTTTGTAGAAAATGTACACATGAGGACTTATGGTTATCATAATTATTACTTTCATAGAATGACTAAACTTCTGAATCAAGGACTACATTTTCAATTACGTTACTAATCAGAAATTCAAGTAACACAAATGCTAACTTCTCTTGTTGCCACTAGGTGGCACCTACTTGCTCTCATGTAGGAAACTCAGAAAACTAAAATCAACGCAATTTTCAAATTAGATTTAAATTTATTCCTGGATTCCTGAAAATGATTTTTATCTTGGAATTGAAAAATTACAATTGTGCAGGACCACCTCAAACCTCTGTGTCTTTTTAAGGATAGGGTCCCAGAGAGGGATTAGGAATGCTGGTGTTCATTTACTTATTCAAATAATATTTACTGAGATCCTACTACTTGCCAGGTAGTTTTAGAAATCAGGGATACATCAGAGGTGAAAAATAAGTCTCTAGCCTCATGAAGCTTAAATTCTAGTAAGGTGAAACAGTGTGCCAGATGCTAAGTGCTATTGAGAAAATTGACAGTGCTGGGAAAGAGGGGTTGCTTTGTTATATGCTTTGGCTGAGGAAGGCTTCATTGATATGATAAAGAACATTTTGAGTAAAACCTCCAGAAAAGGAGGGAGCAACCCATGCTTTATGTAAGAGCATCGTAGCAGAGCATCCTAGCAGAGCACCTGAAACAGACATATGCTTGGCAAGGAAAAGCAAGGAGGCCAATGTGCCCCAGCATAGAGCGTGCAGGAGAGGGATGTAGGAAACCACGTCAGAGCTATGGTACAGACCGGACTGTGTAGGGCCTGTGGGCCATTTTAAGGACTTTGATTTGTACTCTGAATGAACAGTAGGCCGCTTGAAAGATTTGGGGTAGAGTCTCAGGATGTGACCTAGATTTTAAACAAATAACTGTGGCTGCCATGTTGAGAACAACGAGAGTCAGAAAGGAAACCGGCTTTTGGACCAGTGGAGGTGAGAAATGATGGAGCTTGAACAGGATGACAGCAGTGGGTATGATGAGAAGGGTTAATTGTAATGTGTTTTGAAGGAAAACCCAGCAGGGTTTGCTGATGGATAAAGGTGAGGTGTGGGAGAATGAGAAGCGTCAAGGATCCCTTCAAGGAGTTTTGATCTGAGCAATGGGAAGAATTTTGAAATAGCAAAAACTGAAAGAAAGAGGCCAGGGAGAAGGGGGCTGGGAATCCAGGGCTCAGTTGTAGCCTTATTAAGCTTGTGATGCTTAGTACACGCCACCCAAGTGGAGAAACAGAACTGCTGTTAATGCATGAGGATGACGTGGCTGTGAGAGAGACCACGCACAGTCACCAGGCAGGGGTATATTTATTCTGAAAATGTTCCAGAAGGTGGCAGTCAAGTGCTTGAGGAAAAAGGCAGCTTTTTCTAATTAGTACAAAAATGGTTTTAGGGCTGGAAATGTGAGTCCTTCATCAAGGGAGAAGTCTAAGGTAGAGGTATATACTTGGGGTTCATTAAAGTCGGGCAAGTGGATGAGATCACTGAGTGAGAAAGACAGGGAAGAGGCCAGAGCCCTGAGCCCGGGGTTTTCCAGTGCTTGGAGGTCAGGCAATGGAGTATGAGCAGGAATGGTCAACAAGATAGGAGAAAAACCAAGACAGAGAAGTAACCAAAGCATGTAAAGAGGGTGTTGCCTGTCACAGGGGAATGAAGTGGGTAACAGCCTGACTGCAATAGCTTTAGGGAAGAATGGGAGGAGAGGCCTTGGAGACTAACTGTAGATAATTCTTTTAAAAATTTTTTGTCGGGAAGGAGAGGAAATTAAGTGAGAGGGCAGCTGCAGAGGGAAGCAAAGTCAAGACAGGGTTTTATAAAGATGGGCAAACAGCATGTTCATAAGCTGATGGTATTAAGGGAAAGGTGTGGCGGAGAAGTGAGAAGGCACAAGTGCTGAAGTGATGTCTCAAGGGAGAGGCAACAGGCAGTACTGGAAAGGAGCATGGCAGCTCATGCATAGGAGCAGGAAGAAAACAACAATGAGTATCGATGAGATGAATGGGTGACAGGAGTGTGTGAAATTTACCAGGTGAATGTGGTGATTTATATTTGTCTAAAGTCACTTGTCTCTAAAAAATATTTCTCTATATATTCTCATTGGTTAAATCTACAAATACTATTATTTCTACCACAAAATATATCACCCACACACATGCACAGGCTGGCACCCATGAAGTAATCCTAAATGAGTCACAGACTTAAGAATAACCATAATAGGGATGTCACCTTGGATCTAATCTTTGTCCACCACTGGGATTCAGACCAGCCCAACATATGGGAAGAACTAATGGGGCAGGAACCACAAAATTCTTTTTTCTATGGGTTCCAAAGAACCTCCTGGAAAATAATTCATCCAAAAGGATGGAAAATTCAGGCAAACCTAATCTGAGTTGTCAGAAAAGAGTTACCTAAATTCCATCCTTTACCAAACTCCAGAGACTCATTGGTCCATGTCCCCTTGTCTCTAACACTACGGTGATAATTGTCAGACTGCCCATCCTTCTTACTAGAAAAACATGGCAACCATAATCATAACTCATAGCTACAAGATTACATTGCCAATAAGGTGAGTCCCACTAGCAACAAGGTAAGCCAGTCCTGTTATGGGATCCCTGCCCCTAGTGAGCACATAGTAGAGGTGGCATGTATGTATTTGAACAACTGACCACTGTTGCTAAGGAGGAGGATCATTGATAAGCTTATATCATCACACAATTTCTAAATAAATCTTTATTAGCAATGCAGAATTACAAAGACCACAGCTTTGCCTCCCTGGTGTACATAAATACAATTAGAGATGAAAATCTTGGAAAGGATTATCACTTAGTATACTCACCTCTGAAAAAATGTTCATGTGAGTTTGGGGATGAAAGAAATTC